AGTAACATTATGAAACATGAAAACCTGAAATCCTGAGAAGACGCAATTAAGCCGATATGTTTCTTTACAAATATATCTCGGGGTTTTTTATCATTTAATATCATGATTAATGAGTATTAAAACTCGTTCAAAGTCCTTCAACAGGGAATGTGCAGCGACGCAATTTTCTGAAGCAAAGCATGATGGTAGTCCTCGCTCCTTATTTCCACCTAAGAATTCTTATTTGCACATTCCTACTATTCGGACTGGAAATAATTTCAAGTGTGGACTTACCCGTCTTGTCAGAGATTTTTCGAATAAATTAAACAAACCATCTAAAAATATTTAAAATATAACAGCTAAAACATAACTAAGCTAACATCAAAAACTTTAAAAAAGTAAGACATATAAAAACATTAGAATGAGAACTTATGGTGTAGTATTTTGCTAACGCACGTTGGTTCTCAGTATTCTCAAAACGAAGCTACCACAGGTAACCCAAACTTACTCTTAATATAATATATAGCTACATTACAATAAACATATYTTCTTTGTGCTTCTTCAGGAATTAGAAAACCAAATTGAACTTATGAGGAAGAACTCAATGGAGTAAGTGAACTATCATAACATAAAAATACATTTCATATATCTATTTGAAAAAATGTCTGGACACTATTCTGAAATGGAAAATAATCTTTCAGGTCAGTCGACTTTCTTCTGTATCATCTTTTATCTTGCCTGGATGAAAAGAAGGTGAGATCAATAATTAATTGCTCTATATTGCATAATTGTTCAATTACCCTATCGCATAATTACGTCWCAMCAAAACATTTGTTTTAACGCTAAGGATTATGGTCGACAAAGGGGATCAGAGTGACTGCATATCAAATAAAATGTAGATGAGCTATCATTGATAAATGATATACATCAAAACTCGATTACTAAAGTTCTACTTTCGTAAAGAATGTTAATCGGTCCAAATTGGGAGTCTTTCSAGCAGTCTACTATCCACAATGTAAACACTTGTGAAGTTGCTCTGGTTT